TATGCCACCGAAAACACATATGGAACGGGTGTCTTCGTCCCGCGCCACTATTAATGCCTCGAATGTTCCAGAGGGGTATAACGTCGCGGTTTCTAAGAGCTCTCAGTTTCAAGTGAATTTATTCTCGACCATTAGTTGCACGTGCCAAAGCAATCTGCATAACGCGCGCCAACTGTCATATTGACAATACGAGTCTCAATAATAATATTTACATTCATATGAGAGATGTTTTATTCCCCATAATTCCATGACTAATGTACTTTATCAAATATCAACCTAACTGAGTAGCCCAATACAGTGAAGACTGTATCTCCTGTAAAGTGGCATGCCTCATGTAACAGACTGTTATTTGAGAATATATTATTATTATTATTATTATTATTATTATTATTATTAAGAATATTCGGTCGACTTCCTGTGCTTCAGTCATTCGCATCTATAAGTCATCCAAGTGTATCTACATCTATATCAGCAGACTTTGGAAACCGAATCTAATTACTAATCTTATCTATCTTTGATTCTTATTATTTCCGTTTACTTCTCGGTTTTGCATAATAATCTACACAGTCATTATGTTTATTCAGTTAATCAATTCATTTACTTGTCCTACTTAGAACGTATTCTTCTCTAGTCTGATTTTAACTGACATCTTATGGGTTTTACAACTGTTATTGGGTGGCTAATGGTTTTAGCGGCCCCATAGCCCAAGGAAAAACGCATGCATTTGTAGACACCCTTAACCGATCAAAGTTAGACAATCACTGAAAAACTGAAGGCACTGGACGGCCAGTTTGTTCTGGTGTGTAACTACTTATCGATGCCCTCTGACTAACCTACGACCAGTAGTTGAAGACAGAACACGTTTTGTTTAAAAGATTACCAACCTGGAAGCAAGCATCAAATATACCGCAACTAGTGAAGTATTCCTTCGATAATTACGTTGTTAATCATTTCGATATTGATTAAATTTGCGTCTCACATTCGTCGTAGTTTTATTTATGGAACGGAATTTGCATGATTCTGGTGCAAATGTATGTGATAATTCCTTGGTGTTGCTTTTCTTCATGACTACTACTTTGGCTTTCCTTTGATGCGTCGCTTTTTGCGACCCGCATTTATGTGCATTTTTCTTCCATTCTTTGCAAGCGTTTCTTACTACTATACTGTCCACAATTTTCAAATGATGGTTCTACTTTCCCATTATACTGCTTTTTGACTTTAGTCGATGTTATATAAAGTGAGTTTATTGCATATCGTTACTGGTTTACACATACACATGACTGCTCTCGGGAGAAAAAGTGAAGGATTTTTTGGTAGGGACATGTATTACTGTTGAAAGCTTTGAACTTTCGTATTCTTAGTGACATAATAAGAGAAAGCGAAGTGTGTATTACACTTTAAGCTCATATGGATTATTCTAGCTTCCAGAAAGCCTGATTAACTAAGTCTCTTCAAGTCACACTTTGACCTTGTTAATTATTCGCTTGTTAACTTTGACTGTTTTAATATGAGCTTATGTGTGTACATTCCATACCTCACTCATCGCATGTCTGTAACTTTTTTGTCTTACTATACATGTCAATTCGCACTTGACCAAATTAAGTCGGCTCCCTCGCATTATTCGCTCCTCTTCGCTTCCACATAACTGTTCCGAATATCTGTTTGTATAAACAAATACTTGAAATAAATTACTACAGTACGACTCGTACTTGGCTTATTATAAGCGCCGTCACATAAACATGGTTAGGCTAGGTACAATACGCAGTTAGACGGAAGGTTTATCTTAATAACATATTGATACGTTCATCATAGTTGGAATCCAATCAGCAGGTTGAAAACTTCCTTGAAATATCTACCTTACTAACAAATAACTTAGTGTATAACACCATGTTTACCTAACTTCGATACATTTATTTTACTCATCGTCTGAAATCGTTCGATCTCTAATTATGACCATATACTTCAAGTTCTCATTTAGACATGCTATTATTACGCATTCTGAAATTTAAGGTCATGTACTAAGGATTTTTCATAACATATCTCAGTATAATGCGATACTGCACTGTGGCATATCGTAAAATATAATTTAAAATCGAAACACTCGGATCTCTAAACTATGGGTTTCTTATTGTTTGTGCATTTCGATTAAGCTGGAACCGGGAGTCTGGTTACAATTAGTGCTGAACAAAAGGAAAAAAACAAGATCCTAGAATACAACACGGAGAACACCGACCAAATCACACTCGATGGAGAAACTCTCGAATAGGTAGAAAATTTCACGTACACGCACAGCATCATCGATGAACAAGGAGGACCCGGTGCAGACGTACAGTTAATTAGTGGCAAAGCAACAGCAGCATTCCTACAGTTGAAGAACATATAGAGCTCAAAACAACTGTCTGTCAACCAACATCAAAATCACAACCTTCAGTACGAACGTCAACACAGTTCTACTGTACGCAGCTAAAACTTGCAGAACCACCACAACCATCATCAAGAGAGTACAAGTATTTACAAACAATTGTGTATGCAAGATACTCAATGTCCGTTGACTGGATACCATCAGCAACAGCCCACTGTGGGAGAGAACAAACCAGCATCCACTTGAAGAGGAAATTAGGAATAGACGTGGGTAGTGGATAAGACATAGATTTCGGAAGTCATCAAACTGCATCACGAGGCGAGTGCCCACTTAAAATGCTGAAGGGAAACGAAAAAGGGGAAGGTTGAAGATACACTTCGTCTGGAATTGGAATCAGACATGAAAAGGGTAAATGCCAAATGGAGGGGATTGCCTACAGTTACAAACCGTTTCATGATTATTATCCAATGTAATTTGATTACCAAACATCGAAGTAATTGGTATTACCTAAAATAACTCTTTCTCATACATTATGATCAGGGTTAGACGGTGGCTAGAAGTTAAGTCCAGGACGCGCGTTTCATCGTGTTTGAAACTCATCACCTGGATGTACTTGCATCGCAAAGTTGATTCTCATTGCAGGACCCGAACCCACTACTGTTCGCTTCAAAGCCGTTGCGTTATCCACTTAGGAACTGAGTTAAAACAGCTACTAGTTTGTGCAATTGTAGTCATAAACATCACTAGGATGACTCAAAAAACCTGTACAGAAGTAAATAAGTTATCACCCACTGAAAAAGCTTGTGATTTATTATAATTACGCATGGTTAATGTGTGAATATTTGACAAGCGTTAGTATAAGCTTACAGGATAAATTCACACAGGCATTATCAGGAGTCTATTCAAGCCAACACTTTTTCGCTTGTAAAATTAATAAGTAGTAAGTCTCGTTGTCGTATGTTATTTTAGTGATATTTTCCCGTAAATCTATAAAATAGGCCTACGGATTACTTTAATTCTGTTAATCCTCGATACTACCAAGTAAACATTTTCGCCCCCTAGTTTTTAGAAATGATGTGACAGGAATCACATCTTCTCGTAACCAAGCAAGCTCTCCTAATACCAAGACGTTGGTGAGAGAAGACCGATCATTCCGCTAATGCTTAACAGCCAGTAATATGAAATGCGCTCACTGGATCAAATCCGAAAGGTAAGAAAATAACTAATATCATCCACCAATCAGGTTTTTTATCAACTATCTCTCTTAAACTCTCAGCTTGTAACGTTCTTCAGGCAAACAATATTCAAAACTTCTGCACCTAACCTGCACTCTCGCTATCACAGTACCCAGATTTATTTTACTGGGCTTGATGAAAGTTCCCATCTTTAATTCCCGATAGTCCCAATGTAATGTTTTTGTAACAAGACTGACGTTTGAGTTCATTATGACATTGGATTTCGTATGTTGGGGATATTAGATTTCGAGCTGAGGTTTAAAGTGGTGTGACGCGTTTAAAATCTGACTGCCACTCTGCTTTCGGCCACCAGATTGCCTTCACACCATACATTAACTGTTATTTATTGTCGACTAAATTTATTATTTGTGTAAGTTGATTCAATATTTTACTGAGTTGTCTGCTCTCATGTTTTGGATTCGACTTTTATACACGTCTATGAAGCCTCATACAATGCTTCGCTCACTCAGTGTCCATACAATGTCATTTCAGGCTCCATGCAAGCTATCTCAGATCTGAGTCCCATCGGTGGAGATGTTTGTCTTAACTGAAATCCAGACATCACACTAGTACTAATGTAATTTCTTAAGAGCTAAAAAATTGAATTTAACGGGATAGGGAGTTGCATAGTTTGTTGAATTCCGTGGATTTGACATCACAAAATAACCACTAAATTTCAGATTAACGATCTGAAGGTTAAAACCTCACCCTAGACCCTGAAAGTCTCAGGTTCGATCTCTGGTGAAGTACAGGATCTACGTTCTGAAGTCTCGTACCAGGACAAGACACGTTCTGTATTTCCTGGTTTTCACTGGCCCTCTAACTAGTATACTCTATAGGAATACAAACTCAACCTGTTTGCACTTTATGTAAATATGTCATCACGTCCTCATTCGTACCTTTTCTTTCTAGCATTAGTTTTTGGTTCTTTACTTTTCCGTTGATTTCTTGCTGTCCTGGTTGTATGTGGCGACTGGGGTGTATTTCAGATGTTTTGCTGTATCCGTCAGTAGTTGTTGGTTTGCAATCAATATGAATAGCAAGTTTTCAAGTATAGTTATGAGGACACAAGAAATCACAACTTAGAAATATAGTTAAAAATATACAGTTAATAGGACTGAATAGATAGCACACCAAACACTAATAATTTGACACTTAAACTTGCTGGTATTGGCTAAATACCATTTAATATTACTAAAAGAAATTCACGAAACAACTGGATATCGCCTTTTTTGTGGAGTCTTATTTGCATGATCCCATATCAGATGTGTTCAATCTAATGAAATATTTATCATCTAGCGATCTTAACGCGTTGTGATGAACACTACTTACGTTTATCCTACGCTATTTATCTCTTAATAACTCCTGGATGTAATTATCTAAACTTATTTCACCCCTATTAGACTTGAACGGGAGAAATATCACTATGCAGATATACACTTCTGAAAAGCGTGGCTCCGATACAACTGGAGACGGAACAGAAAAAGCTCCTCTAAAAACTATTCTTCAGGCCATCGCTAAGTTAGATGGGAAAATTGATGCGGATACGTGCATCTGGGTTGATGGTGTTGAAAATGAAATGTGGGATCCTGTATCTAAATCGAAACTAAAGAAGATGATCAAACAATATCATATTCAAGAAAGAAAACATGATAAGGTGCCAAAGGGAAAAGTTGTAAGTCTCGCTTGCAAGTAATGTGAGATTTACTTATTCCAGTATTGGTGGCTTCTACACAACCTATTATTTACACATAACTCTGCGTTATGTAGCCCCCATATATTATCATTTGTGACCAACCTAGCCATAGTGACCACGGGATTTTAAATTCCTGTTGTCTGAGTAATTTGAAGCAATCAACTTAAAATCTAAGTAAATATGTGCATCATTTTGGTGCCGAAATCTCGCGATTGTACAAGACATCCATCATAATATGCGATTTCGAGATAAATGCTGCTTAAGGTCACTGATGACACCTTGAGTTTCCTTAATAACTAGTTACAGACTACTGTGTCGACAGTGTAGCAAAAATGATGACTATTATTTGTGTGTATAAAGACAGTCAAGATCTTACTGGATATTCTCTCCGAGTTCATCACTTCAGTAACTTGGTGCGAACCTGTGTAGACTAACAAACTGTTAGAATGCCACACAAGGGTAAGACACTAGTGGGATCCCATGTAAAACTTGTTACGTTTCTTTATCCATCCTGGTAATGCCAATCCTATCCTACATAGTTTGTGTATGTATTCACTCTTGACATACTGAAATATTTGTTGATGGATGTATTAAAAGCACAACTTCACTCAAACGTTCTGTTCATATTCATCGATCTTAGCAAATAATATTGCCTCTCAGTAGTAGTCAGTCTCCATAAAATGTTTGGATCAAAGCCGATTATATTAAGCTTGATGAGTGAATTACATGAAAATTAAGAAATATGCTGCTTAGAATAGTAATAAATCTACATTGCAAAGATGTTTAAAGGTCATATGAAAGTAAAGATATTTTTAAACGAACCTTTGCAACCGTTTCTCACTATCCTGCTATTTATCTTAATATTCATTTAGTTGCTACACAAAGTTCACAATATATTTGTAAATATTAACCGCTTTGTTCCGTAGCGTCTGTGGTAAAAAAAAACATAAAGCTAACTGTGGAAGCTGTTCTTCAGTGTCTCATGCGCTTCTGAATGTAGTCTATTGGTTGGAACACTGGATTGTCAATCAGTAGATAAAGGGTTTGAATTCAGCCCCACCTATCCTAGTAAAATCGATAGACCTCACAGAAATAATATAGCTCAAAGCCAAACACATAAACTTGTACTGTGTGTGAATTACAGTTTACATACATTTTTTGCTGTACTTATTAGACTGTTGCATTTCTTTCTCAGCCACCTGCTGAAAACGGTAATCTTAGTGAAGCAGTGGATGTTCAACTGACTTTGGACACAAAATTACCTGAAGCAAAACAATGTAAAATTCGTGATTTACAAACCTTATACGATCAACGTGTACGTGTGTACGGCTGGGTGCATCGAATACGTCGTCAGAGTAAAACTTTAATGTTCATTGTTCTTCGGGATGGTACTGGGTTCTTGCAATGTCTTTTTTCAAACAACCTGGTAAGTTTTGTACAATGATAAGCTTTCTATTTTTGAGTGAATGAAGTCAAGAAATAAGACGTTTACTAATGCATTTGCAACTGATTTCAAAGCATTCCCCTCAAGTTGTTCGATCATAGATCGGTATTGTATCATGCACCTAAGTCAGGAAGTATGGTGAATATGGAAGATTCACCTAGAGAAGTTGGAAAACCCTGATCCCAAACCAATGGTTCACATGGGCTCCAGGATCCCGAAGGAACAAATGATCTACGAACTTACTGTTGGTCACCGGCTACTATGGGACTACATCTCCTTATGTTACTCCACTGCCTTGTGGTTTAGACCTTAGAGTCAGAGACTCGGGGAGTGTACCCTAAGGAAACCACCTGCCCCGGCTTGGGTGCCTGGGCAGTATCACAGACCTCACACAAATCAATGATAACTACTACTGGCATTGTCATTGTGTGGCGCATATGTATTTGGTGCCACCTTGTACTAATGTTTCTGTGTTCAAATAAATACATACAGGAATTGCAAACTCTGTACACACCCTATCCCAAAATTCAATGAATTCCTGGACTACTGTCATGTTTTGAGCTAACCATGTTAATGAGTTACATGATTTATTCAACTTCAATTGAATTCTCCCAGCAGTCAAATTTGGGATTTTCTAATCATGCTTAAACAGTAGTATTTAGTTTTCATGAGGTGATGACTTCCGCTTGTAATTATCCCTTCGAGTCTCTTCTTATTTTCTCCTTGAAGAGATTAAGTATAGGAAACTGCGATTTTTGATGTTTTCTAAGAACGAAGTCATTTAAAAATAGCCTGACGAGTGAAGAATTAATTATGCATGTTACCCCTTGTGGAGGAGCATAAGCCGCCCACCAGCATTCTCCATCAAACTATGTCCTTTGTAGTCACGATTAATCCTTTTCATGTCTGATTCCAATTCCAGACGCAGTGTATCTTCAACCTTCCCCTTTTTCGTTTCCCTTCAGCATTTTAAGTGGGCACTCGCCTCGTGATGCAGTTTGATGACTTCCGAAATCTATGTCTTATCCACTACCCACGTCTATTCCTAATTTCCTCTTCAAGTGGATGCTGGTTTGTTCTCTCCCACAGTGGGCTGTTGCTGATGGTATCCAGTCAACGGACATTGAGTATCTTGCATACACAATTGTTTGTAAATACTTGTACTCTCTTGATGATGGTTGTGGTGGTTCTGCAAGTTTTAGCTGCGTACAGTAGAACTGTGTTGACGTTCGTACTGAAGGTTGTGATTTTGATGTTGGTTGACAGACAGTTGTTTTGAGCTCTATATGTTCTTCAACTGTAGGAATGCTGCTGTTGCTTTGCCACTAATTAACTGTACGTCTGCACCGGGTCCTCCTTGTTCATCGATGATGCTGTGCGTGTACGTGAAATTTTCTACCTATTCGAGAGTTTCTCCATCGAGTGTGATTTGGTCGGTGTTCTCCGTGTTGTATTCTAGGATCTTGTTTTTTTCCTTGTGTGTGTTGAGGCTTCTACCACACTGGTTGTACAGAGTTTCGATAGATATCCGTTCACTATGTTGATGCTTATTGAGGCACAGAACCTTTTGACACGTTGATGTTAGTGCTTCCTTGATCCCTTTCCTACTGTCCTCCGTAGTAGTTCCTTCTCTTTTGAGTTGATCTTGTTAGGTGTGGCACGTATTGTTGAGAGCTATTTTGAATTCGTTGAGTTTGTGAGTATCTCAAATTAAGGCTCTATTGAACCTTTGTAATGCTGTCTCTCTGGTTGTCCATTGCTTCTTTGGCTTCAGTCTCATCTTGGCAACCACCATGTGGTGATATGAAGCTATGTCAGCTCCTCTCCTGGTTCTCATACCTTCTATTGACCTTGTGAACTTTTTGTTAATGCAATTATGATCGATCTGGTTCTGTATAGTGTGGTCCGTTGAGACCGATGTAGCTTTGTGTATGCGTTTGTGGGTGAATATTGTGACACATATCCGTTTTGTTTAGTGAACATAAGTTTGCGAATCTCTCACCATTCTCGTTCCTTTTTTCAGTCAACCCACATCGTCCCATGATATTTCGATACTCTTTGTTTAATGATGCTTTGACGATTCTGGGTCCATGAGATTTCCATCCTATAAATGCATTTCGTGCTTCTTTGGACAGCATCAGAGCAACTCCCTGGGTGTGTGGAGCATTTTCCTCTTCTGAATGAAGTACAGCATCATCTCTCCCAAATTTATCTTTTTCTGTCAAGTTTGAACTCAATGTGTTTCACCTATTTCGAACACCGCTCATTTGTGTTTACTGATTTCTGTAGCTATTCGATTGATCCTCTCGATCTCCCACATTGTGCGGACATTCCATGTTCGTATATTAATTGTTGTTAGATGTATCATCTGCCTCTTGACTTCCGAAAAATCTCGGCTTTCACCATAATGCGTCATAATTCTTCTGAAAGAAGATCATTCAGCTCAAAGCGCAGAACTTAAATGGTTTAGTTTGTTTATTCTGGTTAGTAGTTTTTTAGCAGTGTTGTTTTTAGGATGGTGTTGCTGACCCCACTCAAACTTCCTCTAGCGGGGCTTGGGACCAACATTAACCCTAGAAGAGCTACAGGCGCAGCTAGTGAAAACAGTCAGGATATATACAGTCGAAGACTGTTCATCCAGGAAAGGCGAAACACCGACACAAAGTAGCGACACTTTGGTTTACGTCAGTCTTATTGAATAAAAACTGTTATCTCTTACTAAATAAAATGATCAGTTTTGTTTTCATCCTAAACAGTATCTGTCATGAAAATCTGGTTTAATAAGAGGGTCTAGAAAAAAAAGATTAAAAGCGTTCTCCGTTAGGTCACATCAAGCATACTTGATATATTTGCTGGATGAAACCTTATGCAATAATATTGTGCTAAACAACAGCCAAAGTATTTTTTGCGAGAAGTATTATAAGTCAATCAAAGTGTGGGACCTCGAACAGTTGCAACTTGATAATTTTCACAAACGAGTAGTTTATTATAGTGGGTTTCAACTTGACATTTCTACGGTCAATCAAGGATCACAGTCGACAATGCATTATCTCTAAACCTTTGACGTCGTCTACTGTTAATAATTGTCTTACAAATACATACTAGTGTCGGGCACCAATGCTGGTTGTTCAATAATTTATGTCCATGCTATTAGTATGAGATCATATTACTCGCTTAGATTTCTTCAGCAATCACCTTACGAGGACTGATACAACTTTTAGTCAAACATATTATTTATTGAAACATAAACATTGGTACAATGAGGCACTATATATATATATATATATATATATATATATGCGCCACTCTTCATCATTCGACTTGTGTGAGGTCTATGATACTGCCCAGGAACCCAAGCCGAGGCAGGTGATTTCCTTAGGGGATCCAAACCACAAGGCAGTGGAGCAACATAAGGAGACGTAGCCCCATAGTAGCCGGTGACCAACAGTAAGTTCGTAGACCATTTGTTCCTTCGGGGTCCTGGAGCCCATGTGAACCATTGGTTTGGGATCAGGGTTTTCCAACTTCTCTAGGTGAATCCTCCGTGTTCACCCACCTGACCAAATTGCCGGGCATACAGATTGATTCGTAGATTAATTTACTCTATCAATAATTAGCCTATAGTTTTTTTAATCGCTTTCAATTCGACTACATACAATTTATTTTTTTTTCATGCCATACTACTTTTTAAGTGTTTAACTCAAGATGCAATCACGCTATCACCAGAATCTACTGTCGAAGTTTACGGAGTGGTAAAACAATTGCCATCTGGTAAGTCAGCTCCTGGTGGCATAGAATTAGTTGCTGATTGTTGGACGATGATTGGTAAAGCGCCAGCTGGTGGTATCGACTCTGTATTAACTGTGGAAAGTGATATAGACACTCAGTTGGACAACAGACATTTGGTTATTCGAGGAGAAAATGTAAGTGGTGTTTAATAATCTTTTTAGTTCCCTCAAAGTTTCTGTTTTTGTGTGAACATAATCACCATCCATAATTATATTTTAAATGAAACGTCAACAATGCAAATCTTTGAACATCGTATTGCTCTCTCTCTCATTCGATCTCCCTTCCGAATTTTTTTTACACCATTTTCATCAGTATCTTCATTGTCTTACGTTTTTGCCATTCTTTTTCCAGCTACCAATCCTTTTCCATTTTAATTTTAAATGTTACAGCCTTAACCGATGTAAGCATTGTCATTTTAAATCCTTTGTATATTTTTCCCTCAGATGAGGAAAAGAACAACCTTTAGTTCCTAATCTGTAAGGATGATCCCGTTGTTTATATTCTTGACTGGATTTTGATCAGTTCTAGTTGGCATATCTGCATTCTGTAATTATTGTCTCGATATATAGCCATTCTGCTACAAATTTTTTATAGAAGAGGTGGATTGTGGTCAGCATTTGGATATAAGACACTCGATTTTATCCTATTTTAGATTCGTCAGTTGGGTATACTGGTATCCTAATGTTAATGTTTATGTCCTACCTAGACGATCCTGAGTTACTAACTGGTTGAAAGTTGAATGCTAACACCGATTATGAATGCTTACTCATTCTTTTTAAAACAATGTATGCCATTCGAACTGGCTTCCTTCAACGTTCGTACTCTAATACGGATCAGACAACAGATAGGGTTGGCTATGTCTCTAAAAAGCCCTAGTATCGATATCTGTTGTCTTCCCGAGACCCGTATTCAAGAATCTAGTGAAGTACTACAAATTCGCTCTACATCTGTGACCTCTGACGACTGATCCACCTAATGAGGCAGAAGTCCGCAAGGAACTCTAACTCTTAAAGCGCCAGAAATCACCAGACCCATATGACTTAACCCCGGCCCTTTTTAAAGATGGTGACTTTCTGGTTATGGAACTAATTGAGTTATTTACAACGGTCCGGCAATTAGAGAGTGTCTCAACACAATAGAACGAGTCGATAGTTGCTCTTATATTTAAAAAGGGGTTCACGTCGTTTCTATCAAGGAACCAGTCTATTTCTGATTGCGTCCAAACTATTGGCTGCCGTCATACTTCGTAGATTGTTCAAAATACGAGAAAGATTGGCTCGCGAAGAGCAGGCTGGTTTTGGCCGAGGATGTATTGATCATATCTCCACCAAATGTTAGAACACTGACATACTTATTCCAGGTCAACAATCGTTATGTTTCTTGACATCATGGCCACTTTCGACTCGTTGAACAGGACTGTTCTCTGAGATTGTATATTGAAGGAGGGTGTTCCTGAGAAGTTGATTAACATCTTGAGTGATCGCCCGTTAGACGTTAGTTCAGGAATTAACGCCCGAATAATGTGCATTCTTTTCAATTCGTATTGCCGGTAATCATGGTGTCACTGATTGTACTTTCTTGTAAATTATACACCAAAAGGTCATAAATGTTTTACAAACGCGCCTAAATAGGTTATGCGACTAATAGACAATTGGTGTTAAAACAAACAAAAAACAGATAACTTATTGATAGATCTAGATGGCAGGATCAGCTATCCCAGATATTCAAGTAGGCCACCTATATTCGAGAGGTAGAGTGATTTCTCATCACCCTCGACCGTACAAGGGTATTTGGGGTCAGTAAAAGTAAAGAATCATAAGACGCATCTCTAAAAATAACCAATGAGATTAAGGAATAAAGTCAGAAATAACATTTGATATTTGATGTTTGTAAAAACGAATTACAAACGCGAATAGATCTATGGTGTTAATGTCGATTATTCTTATTTTATAAACTGTTTATATTTTGTATATATTTTTTATTTTGATACTTCATTTTCAATTTAGACATCGAAAGTGCTCAGGCTCATCAGCGTTGCTTTGGAAGCTTTCCGTGCACATTACCTAGATCGTGGTTATGTGGAGGTTAGTTTTGCTACAAAAGTAGTCTCGTTTCGTATACCCTTAGCCAAAAATTGTTTTATCTAAATATATATGAAGATAAGTTTAATTTTTATAGTCGGTTTACTTCATGAACCGTTATATTCACCAGAGAAGAATGATTGAAAAACCTGGAAGCACTAAATATTTGCGTTGTTTTAGTATTGTACTCCCGTTTATATATACAACTTGGATAATATATATTGTAAAAGGTTTCTTGATATACATCTGATAAATAAAGTTACTAAACGATGTTATCACTTATTCATAGCTCTCATATCCATCATTTTTCAATGATGCATTAATAGTTATTACTATTGTAAGTTCGATTAGTGTTTGATATTTTGTTGACCACCTGCTTCGGTTTGGGCATCCGGGCAGTATCACAGCCCATACACACACAAATATGGTGTGGCGCATATATATTTGGCGCCCTCTTGTACCGATATTTATGTGTTGAAATAAATAATAAATTTTGTTGACCATCAAAATAACAATGATAATCTTCACAGTCTAATCAGTCATATTTTTCCTACTGGTCTCAAGTACTTTGTTCTACTAAACCCTCATACTTACTGTTCTTAATCTGCAATAAAGCCGCAAGTAACATCACTCTCCTTTGGCAATTTTCATTTGCGTCGTTCAACACGACAGCCATGATTGTTACCTCCAAGTTTTTCAGATCAAAATGCCCCTCGTAAGAACTTGGTTATATATATTTATTTATACTATTCCATTATAACTAGGTCATATACTAGTCCATTCAAAATAAACTTCTGAATAATTTGTTTCCTTTGTTTTTTTTCTAGGTTTTACCGCCGACATTTGTTCAAACACAAGTCGAAGGCAGTTCTACATTGTTTTCCTTGAATTACTTTGGTGAGAATGCATTCATGTCTCAGTCGTCTCAGTTGTATTTAGAAACATGTATACCTGCCGTAGGTGACTGCTACTGCATAACCCGTAGCTATCGAGCTGAAAAAGTACGTTTTTACCAACAATCTTTGTTTTCTATTTTGCCACTAATTTGGTGTTGTAGATTCCCATTTGAATACTGTTGGTTGTGCACAGTATTCAGAGCTCGTGAATTTGTTCGCGCTTGCGCAGTTTGTATTGAAAATATATCCCCCGAACTAACGAACCTTGCTCAACTATCAACTTTTTTATCTGAGGGGAATAGAATAAATTTCACTTAGTGATAAGGTCAGGTTAACGGTTGTCCACACATAGTCTAAGTAAACCATTCCTGTTTTAATCAATACAGCAGAAGAGATGCCCCATAGAAATACAGACGGCTAAATCATAAGGTCCTGGTATGGTTAGTGATCGATCGATATTCTCTTAGGATGTTATCTAGTGAACCCCCTCACATGCATTAATTATATGCTAAAGGGAATTGTTCTTTCTCGATTTGCTACTCATTAAATTGTTGGAGTAAGAACGCAAGATCACTACGTGTATGATTGTCTGGTTTCATATTAGGTCGAGCCTGTTTAAAAGTTATACTCCATCCAGTGACATTTATGGCTTCATCTTTGTTGAATCAATAGTGACCAATAGTATCGGAGCTGCATGTCTATCAATGACGGGGCGGGGAGCCTTGAGATTCATTGAAGCCTTACATTGTTCTGGACAATCATTACCAGAAATAGCATCTTGTATTTTATTATTGCAGACTATGAACAATTGTCTGCAATTAAATGTACGCATTTTGGTTGTTTATAATAACCATGGGTTAATTGAACATGTATGGTGTTTCTTTTAGCAGCTACTAAACTCTGATTACCTTGAATATAACTTGAAATAGCACCCATTTTAGCGCAAACGGAATGGTAGAAAATGTTTAAACTCTCGTATAGGTTAATATTACCATATGTCAGGCGTCAACATAATTTGATATAGTGGCAGGCGGAAATTTATAATTATCACAAGATGAAACGACGAATTCGCTTAGATTATTGAATTAAGCTGTTTTAGCCACTTTTGGACACCGACCAACCAAAACGTTGGCATACCATATCTCCATGATTTTACTCATTATTGCTTCCTTACATACCTTTACTTCATTTAACTCCTCTATTACCTTTAATTATTGTAACAAAACATTTTAATTATCTTACTCCATTCATATTATGATCGTTTGTTAACTCCTTAATTTAACAAGTTTTTTTATTCATCCATACTATCTCTCATTGTTATTATCCATATTACGTAATCCAGCATTATTGCCTTTCTATTATATTATCATGTTTAATCATTGTTCCCATATCCTCTAGGGATTGTGATTCTTGAGATAAATGTTCAAGTACCATTTCGTGTCACACAGTTTCTGCTAGTGTTTTCAAGGAACGCACTATTCGTTGCTAACTATTCCGACTATTCTGTTTTACCCTCCAGTTTGTTGCTCCCTGTCGATAAATTCGCTCAGATACTGAGACGTTCGTATTTGTATACGTATACCCGAACACCGATTACCACGACGTGCAATGCTAACCGGTGTTGGAGATGGTTGGAAGAAGGTTAGGGGCGGCCAAACCAAAACGTGGCATCAGTGCTTGAAGTCACTAACTTCTAGTTTGAGCCATGTTGGTAGATGCAGACTACTTGGTTGGGGTCCTCGTGACTATCGTAACCAATGGTTGGAGACTCTTGGTGACATGGCTCAGAATCGGTCACAATGGCGTCGGTGTATACACTCTCTGTCTTCTCTTAAACTAAGAGATTAAAATCGCTTCATATCTTTCTTTCTACGAACTAATTCTTTCTTCCTGTACTATATCCTTATTGCAATCTTTCTTTTATATATTACCACCTCTGAATTAACCACTTATATGAATCCGGTGTCCATCTTGTGTTAATGAGGTATGGCAACTTGGACCGATGCATATATGTGCCTGGTCCTACGTTGTGGCTGACTGACTCTAACGCTTCCCAAGTGCCGTCGTTAAAACTCGATTATACAAGTTCTACTGATATGGTGTGCTTCACTTCATTATCACTGAGCCACAAGAGAATCTTGGCTAAATAGTCATCCGATAAATATGCTTCTAGAAATTTCCGCATTATTAGTTCACTACTATTCAAAAATTAGACGATACTTAATGATGATTTCCTGAGAACTATTGGTGTATATTTGATACCTAAAACTTCTACACATTAGTTAGGAGCTTATTGTAGTTACTGATACGCTCTATGTCTATCCCATCTCTATCACCAACTAACGGACCGCTCTCTTCTATTACTGCATGTATATATAATTTCGTTGTAAGTGTATGACTAGTTCAATTTTCTTTTGATATTTTCAGAGTAGAACTCGACGCCATTTATCTGAGTATAATCACGTTGAAGCGGAATGTCCATTTATTGATTTGAACGGTTTATTAGAACGGATTGAAGATTTAGTTGTTGATGTTTGTGATCGCATCATGAAAAAATCCGGTGATCTGTTATTAGATGTGAACCCAGTTAGTTTTACTCTTGATAACACTGATGATAGTAATTTTATATTATGAGTTTTTGTTTTTATTGTTCGCTTCAAAATAATTCTGTTTTTTCTTCAGTTTTCTAATATTATAGAACTAGATATTTGCGGAGATAGTTCATTTCAAAGGTAAATTACATCACTGACTGGTGAATACAACCTACAAATTGAATCAACCTTCACAAAACCCTTTTAACTAGATGATAATAGTTGGCTTGTTGGTGACTAACTTGGAGATATTTCTGAAATTCTAGTTCTAAGTCGTGACTGGTGGAGTTCAAACAAGTTGGGAGTAAAAGGAGTCATCAATAATAATTTTGGATAATCGTTGTACCCCAAACTTGAGGACGCTGAAACTGTACTATTAAATGCTTCTACCCAGTGGTTCTAATCGTTGAGCTTTTCTCGTGATGGTGTCCTGAGTTCCGAATACTGAGGAGTCCCATACTGGGATAAAACATTTCTCAATGGCGTCCCAAACGAGACTGTTCTGTAGCGAATACAACCAACAAACTAAGCCAGTCTCCACAAAACTCTTCCAACTAAGTTACGAAAAAATAATTGAAAATATTTCAACTGTGTTCACACTTACAACCTACTAGGAATAGGATGTTCAGACTACTTCATCGTTTAATTATATAACTAGTATGTATGTAAACTTGGTTGAGTTGATGAGTATTGCTGCATTCTTAAATTGGTACATATTAGTTTTCGGATGTCCATAACTCATAAGCGAATATTCCATGATATCATTCTTCTCCTGTGATTGATTCAAAATTTTACTTTTTTCTCATGATTATAGTTACACACTTTGCTTTTTCATATTTGGACAGATTGTTTGTTTGATATCATTTGAAATACGAATTTTTACAGTAAGTACCCGCGACCCCAACAAAGGTTGAATCCACAATAATCAATAAATAATAAATAAATCATGGCGAGAGCGTCAAGTTTAGACATTAAGCGGGTGTGTGGTCAGTATCACTAACTGACTGAATTTGGAAACGTGCACTATTAAGTGTGCCAGATTAACGACATTGTTAGTTTTATACAGCTTAAATTGTTCATACATTGTTCATGTTCACAATGATCAGATTTACATTTTCTTATTTCGGTTGATTCTCTTTTTCAGCAATTTAAAATACCTAAAAGTCCTTTTAAACGACTTAAGTACGAAGATGCAATTGTTCATTTAAATAATTTAGGTATTACAAAAGAAGATCTTACACCTTTTCAATATGGTGATGACATTCCTGAGGCTCCTGAACGTCGACTTGTAGACACAATTGGCGAACCAGTTCTGTTAACTAATTTTCCTGCTGGATTAAAAGTTTTCTATATGTTGCGAACTAAAGGTGATCAACGTCTGACTGACTCGGTAAGTAGTTCTTTGTAATTCAAAAATCCCTTTCTTGTTCAATCGGCTTTCAAATAAGCCTTGTATTTTTCATATTTAATTGGTTATGATGTTAAGGTGAGTAAAAAATAACTTATTTGAAACGGTATTTGCCTTCATTTGCATTACTGCTTTTTAATCTATCATCAATACGTATATTTTCAGTTGAATGAATAAATTCAATAGATTCTTACACCATACTTTCACATGGTCCGCCAGAAAATAGTAATTAGTAGAACACAAAAATAACCTCGAAAAATAATCAAATACTTACATGACGAGGAGTAAAGTCTTTATGGATTGGTAGCTAAACAAAGATCGACAACACCATAGTCAAAATGAATCACAGTAGCGTTTAAAGATAAAACATTGTTGGTCACTTTTTATTTATAGACAATAGTTAGTTTGACGTCATAAATGGACATCTGCTGTGAAAGTCTAGAGTGTACTGAACAACTGTTTCGTTCTAGTCTACAAATCTTTGCACTCACACAGAATTGGACCGTGCACCATCTTCACATCCACGTCACATGGGAACACAATACCTTTAAATTATTTAGTCATAATGTCTAATACTGCATAATTTCATTGAATCAATTTGTAACATCGTCTTCAATAAAGTACTGTCACACACTGTCAGTTTGATTGATTTAATAGATTGTCAGTAGTGTACACACTGTTTAAGGAGTCCAAACCAGAATAGTTATGTTAAATAAGTTACATCTTTTGGCTTCATTGATTTCAACATCACTGTGTCTGTTAATTTCGCAGGTTGATCTACTTGTCCCAGGCGTTGGTGAATTAGTCGGTGGATCAATGCGTTTGGATAATATTGATGATCTTCTCAAAGGATATCAGTCAGAGGGAATAGATCCAACTCCTTATTACTGGTATACAGATCAGGTAGTTTGTTGAATATAATGCGTTTAGTGTATGAACAAAATCCATTATTTGTATCTCTTAACTATAGTATGTTGTCACTGTATTCCCATTGTTTAGTTTGTTGATTATTAGAGGATAAACGATAATATATTTCGGTATACTTTGCGTTAGATTATCGTGATCAATCATCAGAAAAGTGTTGAATCAAAGTTTCTATTCTTTTTCCGTTCAAACAATCGTGAACACTATATAGAACTTGACGCAAATATGAGTCATCCCAAATTGTCACACTCCACATCATCACAGTTAACAGGATAGAAATGAAAGAAGCTGAAATCATTGTATCTTCGAACTTAAAAAACATGCAATGAATTAAGAGAACGATTGTATAAAATGATTCAAGGTTTGAAGAAAAGTAAAGAACAAACACATCTAAACCATGTACCTTCTTCATTGACTGGTGACATCTTTTGGCTAGATTACCTTTAATTTTCTTCTGATTCACTCCTTATACTAATCGTCATTTCAATCCCAATGGACTTGCCTAGTCGACATAGCTTAATTCCACATTTGGGTCAATAGATATGACCGTAATAGAGCGTCGATCAATATATTTGTGTTGCAAAACCCGTAATAAACATTTAATCATTACCGTTAACTATCAGGTAAATACCTGTATGACTTTCTCAGGGTTTGCTACTCCCTAAATATATAATATATAAAAAAACATTTTAAAAACTGTTGTAGTCGAACTGTTTTATTTATGGTTTTCCCTAAAGGATTTTATATACCCTTGCAAACTGTGATGACCTTTGGTCTGAATCAGAATTAGTATGGTCAACTCACAGTCTCTATCTTACATGTCTATTAATGTTTGATCACCTCTAGAATTCAGCTATCCTAGTCATATCGCTGTCCATGTTCTTTTTTCAACTTAGTTACTTCTTTCTCATGTTCACCCAAAAGTAGTGAATTAGCTTTATCAAAGATGGGTGCTTCCTCCAGAGATATTACGGTGAAAATTAGCCGTTTAGTGTTTCATAACGTTATACTTCCAAATATTTATTTTGTATGTAGAATGCTTTATAGCGTTTACTGTCATTAACATTTTGTTTGTTTGTATTTCTCACCTTTAGCGCAAATTTGGAACTTGTTCACATGGTGGCTATGGATTAGGTTTTGAACGATTTTGTACTTGGCTTTTAGGCAAAGATCATATACGAGATGTTTGCCTATATCCTCGTTTCATGGGTCGATGTCGACCATGAGTAATAGTTTCACCATAACTCCTATATCTTAGTATGGATGTACTCTGCTTTCGTTCTTACATAATCAGTACGAAATTTTTTCATATACATAAATATTTGTCAACACCTTCAATGTTCGATAAGATAATTCACAGTTTGTTGCATTTTTTTTCCCAACGAATGATAAATATATATCATACCATTACTGAGGTTTAACTTGACAATTCCAAATATATTGAGCATCTGAATGAATTTTTTTTATTCTTATGAAAGTGATAATATATTTATAATATCTGAATGAGTAGAACATTGAATTTCATAAGTTTTAGGGCTCAGTGTACGTTACTTCTTCTCTGTATTAATTAGTCCTTAATAGTAGTCAATGCGTACCATTAATGATTGAGATCGTCAAAAAATAACAGAAATGCCTATTGCAGTTATTTTGTGAGAATGTGCTGATGTGATTTTTTTAACGTTTCCCAACGCATAATGTTTGTAGCATCAAGGAAATTGATTCTCATTTTGATATTCGAGCTTTTTCATTGTTTAAGGGTAAATAACAACAAATATGTGTTTAATTTTAACTTTTCCCTATTTGAAATGACAGCCGTTGCATAATAGTCAAAGACATCCTCGCTGCACATAATTCGGAGTCATTTATCACCAAACGTTTTTTGGCAAAAATATTTGTACAGTTTTCTTATGCATATACCTAAATCAACAGAGAAGACCATTTTAATCTATATTCTTTCTGTGCATGAAAAACCCGCCACAGTTGACTACACTACTGAACAAACATATCGTTTAATAGATGGAGTAACAACAGTGTCAAGGTAAATAGTCGTGAACTGTACACTTCTACACATAAAATATTTCACGCTAACCTCATGACTAGTTATTTGGTGCTAGATAGGCAAACCCCGGTTAAATATCTGTCATTGCTTCTTACTAATTCCCAGAGATAGATTAAATGTATTTCACTGTTTCGGTCTTCCGAATTTTGTAGTATAGTATTCAAGAGAAAACATTCATCTGCGAATTTTTGTAAAAGATCTATCATATTCACGCGAATTAGTCTATTATTAAGAAATACATCGTCTTGCACGTGATAATACCGAAGCAAAATATTAATGCACCTTATTATAAATTCACGCTCTTTGTTCAGTTATTCATCTAACATGGCGTCTAATTATTACAGGTGACCAATAAAATTAAGCTTGTTGCGTTTGTGAATGTTTCTTTCATCTCTGAATGTGAGGTACTATTGAACGAAGATACGTGTTTATAATATCAGGAAAGTTAGGTCGCTGAAACAAAACAATTCGTTAGTCGAATTGAACAACTTAAATTTCAGGTGAAAATAATTTTACGATATCCATGAAAACTTTCACTACTGTTTACTTTTCGGCTACATAACTAGCATATCAGCAGGATTCTCTTGTAAATCACCTCATGATAATATGTTATGATCAGATAGGAAGTTATTGTGAACTAACGAAATTTTTTGTTAACCAAGATGAAGAACTACTAGGCACTCAATGCAGACCACAGTGATTTGTTTTTGGCCCAACTAACTGTATGCTGCGGCGAAGTTAAATAGTATTAAAATAGCAACACTATTGGAACACTTCATCTCTACATGTTCTTCCTTATCTACTGTCTTTGCCATGGCCCTGAGAAATTTGATTCGGTTACTTTTGCCTGCCTCTAATGAAAACTACATTGGCTTCGGTAGTTTCCAAATAATTCTCGAGTCGTTCAGCTGTTAATGATTTTTATACATCTATGTAATGCTAGATTTAAGGCCTTATTTTTTTCTAAACTCTCACTGATTGCGGTATACATCAGCATGAAAACGAATGTCATTTAATTTTTCATCCTAATTATTATTCATATCTAATTAGTGACGTTTAGAGTAAATTCTCAGTAAAATAGATTTTAGAATTATCAATCAGAATCATAAACCAGGAAAAAACAGACGGTAAAACAAATCCCTTTGATTTCACTTAGGTTACATTTGTCTAATATCACACTGAGTTACAGTACAATGCTAATTAATCACTGTGGTACAAGTGATCGTTAGAATGAAAAAGCAGATATAGTTAATCAATACAGTAGACGAGTTTGTATACTTCTGTTTCAATATGTGCACGTTGTTTATACATTATGAATCAACAAACTTTGGATTATGTTCATGTTATGAAGATTTGTATTCATCTCTTCCAGTCGTAAACAACATAAGATGTAACTCAGATGTCTATTGATTTAAGTCGCTGTTACATTTCACATTACAACACAGCAATAAAATTAATACAGATAAATAATAGCGTCCTTAAACGAATGGTAGGGAATTCATTTTCGTAAATTTAAAATATGTTCATTGAACAAGCTGAAGAACGTTCTGGTGCTTGGAACCGCGAGTGTGAGCAGTATATATATATCCGGCTGATAAGTCCTACCTTGGGAAAAGTATTCATCGTAAACCCTTCTGTTGGATATTTCCAGTGTGTACTTGCATATTACTTGCTGGTAAAATCTCACTCTTGTAATGTGTCTCTACAGACACTTTTATGAAGCAAGCATCGTTTTACAACAACGTGGGTCACTATCCATTAGGTTACTGAATTAACATGCCCAGAACTTATGTAGTAGATATTAGTTTTTCGTTCACTTCTATTATTCCTACTATTCTTCACCAAACAGTAGTGATTTATCTTTATTATTAAGTGGCAATTACAAAGGAATTCCGTAATGTGGTTATAAGTTTAACCAGTGTTGACCTTTAACCTTGTTACTGAAAATATAATTACGGCGTAACTGTGATCGATTTTTTACTTGAGGTCAGTCTGATGACCCGTTACTACGTTTTTGTTATCTGAGTTTTTAAAATGTGTTATCCTAGTATTGAAAAAACGACTGTCTTGAAGTCAGTCAATGAGACTTTAGCGTGCGGAGGGAGCACTGTGATAAATCGTATGATCGAGTAGGACAAAGAGCAAAACAACTGACCCAGACAGTTCTACTTGTTCGTTAATAACCGGGAGTGTTGTTATGGCTGTAAAAGGATAAAACTGAATAATATTTGAGTGTCTAGTTACATTTTAGCAAAGTTGGTCTGTAACTAATAGTGGAATACAGAAAGCGCGTTTCGTTCTGTTAGGGACTCGTAAACTTTCATAACTACACAAATACTTGGACGGTTTTATCATGATAACCCTCTTGGAGGAGCATAGGCCGCACATCAGGATTCTTCATACCATTCTGTCCTGGGTAATCCTTTCCAGTTGCTATTGATCCTTTACATTTCTGTTTCCAATTCCCGAAGCAGTGAATTCTTCGACCTCCCTCTTTTTCCTTTCCCTTCATCATTTCAATTTAGCACCAGGATTCACACAAATCAATGATAACTACTACTGGCATTGTCATTGTGTGGCGCATATGTATTTGGTGCCACCTTGTACTAATGTTTCTGTGTTCAAATAAATAAATACAGAAAGTGCAAACTCTGTACACACCTTAGCCCAAAATTCAATGAATTCCTGGACTACTGTCATGTTTTGAGCTAACCATGTTAATGAGTTACATGATTTATTCAACTTCAATTGAATTCTCTCAGCAGTCAAATTTGGGATTTTCTAATCATGCTTAAACAGTAGTATTTAGTTTTCATGAGGTGATGACTTCCGCTTGTGATTATCCCTTCGAGTCTCTTCTTATTTTCTCCTTGAAGAGATTAAGTATAGGAAACTGCGATTTTTGATGTTTTCTAAGAACGAAGTCATTTAAAAATAGCCTGACGAGTGAAGAATTAATTATGCATGTTACCCCTTGTGAAGGAGCATAAGCCGCCCACCAGCATTCTCCATCAAACTATGTCCTTTCCAGTCACGATTAATCCTTTTCATGTCTAATTCCAATTCCCAACGCAGTGTGCTCCCTATTAACGCAAAATTGCTCTACCGTGCTCTGTGGTCTTCAAATTTACCGTCAATCTCTGATGTCTACCAACTACGAATTAAACTCATCTCAAGAAACCTACCAATCGAATCAGCAAAACCTTGGTAATGATTAAAAATGCAGAAATCATGAAATCTTGTAACAATAGTATGATAGGCTACTTATCGTCAGATGAATTTATTGATCATTTGTCTAAATTGTTATGTATGACAATATGTAACTATATCGATCGGGTTAATGTAAACTTTATGAATGAATGTTAACCTTATTTCACGTAATTTCTTTGATGTAATAAGCCAATTTTCTGTGCTCTACGTTCAGTTGATATGCGAAACTGAGTGGCCTATGGTTCAGTTAATAAATATGATGAATCAATATTTATTTTGTAATTTGTATAATTTCATTGGAGTTCAAAATAAGAACAATGCGGGATACCTGCAATATGAAAAGTGAGTAATATGATAGTATATACAATGTGTTATATACTGTAGTAGATTATTGCAATAAGTGCGAATTGTGCCGCATTGTTTCGTTACAACAACCACAACAATAAAACCGAAATGTGAATGGTTGCAGTAAAAAATATAATGAGGCAAAACCAACAGATTACAAGAATACCGATTTTGATAAACTCTGACAACCTCGTCGTCATCGAGAAGTTGTCGGACGAGGATTACAGAATGGAAGAAAATAACAAAAGTTCTGTTCTCATTGATAAACAACCTGCTAAAGTATCCTCACTAAAAGTTTGTACTCTTAAAGCAATCAATCATTTCTCTATTGATAGTCGTGAATTTAAAAATTACTGAAATCATATGCTGCAGCGAACATAAATACTGAAGAACCAGTAATAAACTTTGGTTCTTAGATAATCCATAGTCTCCCAAATAACTGAATATTATTCATTGGCTATTTTATATCTGCTCACTGAATAAGAATAAATGTGAGTTGGTTTCTCTACCCACGGAGTCAGTCGATAATATGTAACATAGATTCTGGCACACATATAGTGCTACTTTAAGAGATCTGTGAGGTTCTAAGTGGATGGAAGTGATGTTATCTGTCTATCATACATGTTAAAAGTATTTATTTATGCAGTAACACGACACGTATTAGGATCATATATGACCAGGACATCTTGTTCACCTACTATTCTGTACCGATTACAAAATATAGGAATTCTTCCGGAGTCATAGAGTTCATCCCTTAAAAAAACTTCCCTCAATTGTCTTAGTTAATC